TCGCTTCTAGTAACAAGTGCCTTACTAGTAGTAACAAGAAGCTACTAGGAACAAGTGCATCGCTTCTAGTAACAAGTGCCTTACTAGTAGTAACAAGAAGCTACTAGGAACAAGTGCCTCGCTTCTAGTAACAAGTGCCTTACTAGTAGTAACAAGAAGCTACTAGGAACAAGTGCACCGCTTCTAGTAACAAGTAGCAATGCTTCCTTCAGTCCTGTCACAGTTGTGGTGCCTGGTCCCAGAGCTTCGAAGCGCAGAGGCGGGAAAAGACACGCTGTGACGCTGTCCAGTCTCTGAAGTGTGTCAAGTGACTGTATATACTTACTCTTACACTTACTCCGACTCCTGTATATCTTGTATTAATTCTACAAGGTAATTATTTAGTCTACATATTTGAATTCCAATCCTATGGCCGCACAACATGTTACGTGCTTTTAGTTCCTCCGGTGTTTTTCCACTCCTGACCCTTCCATGTATCCTTGGATTTGTAAAGTTTGTCTTGTGTTTGCGGATCTATTCAAGGAAGGCTGCGTCAAGGAGCCAGGGAGCCTGTGGTGACATAGTATGCCACCTAGGGTCCTGAGCTTCTTTGTGCTTCATGCACGTTGATGCTTAGCCCCAAAAAGGCTGCAGAACGGCAGCGTTATGGGGAGCTCCTTCGAGCTGTTCGACAGAGAAGCATGCCGCTGCAGTGGCATTAGAGATATGAACTGATATCCGAATGGTGTTTGCTTGCAACAACCTGCTGTGAATACCTTTGAGGAATTAAACGGTATTTTCTTGAACAGCATTGCTGGATTAGCATTGCTGGATTGACAAAGACGGCCTACGAGCAACCATATTTAAGCAACTTCGCTCGACCATTCTTTTTTATGGCTTTGCATTGCTTCTGCTCTCATGATGCATCTCAGGCCAACACCGATGCCAGGATTTGCAGATGAAGTAGATGAGGCAGAGCCGCCACAGGGCACAGACGCCCATGCGACCTAGTACCCATACGCATTTAGTTGATATGAAACAGGTTGGTTTTCGTGTGTTTAACTTTATGTGGCATCCCAAGCTCAGGCTCCTTGTCAGATTGAGCACATTTGAGCACAAAACATTTGCTGTACACCTTTTGAATTCACTGCGCGTTTGTGGTTATTTAAGATCTTTCGAGCAACCAGAACTGTTCGAGGAGCCAACACCTGCCAGACAAAGCATCCAATTCCGTGTTGAAGCGCTCAACCAGCTATATAGATACGCAATCATACTGCATATATATATATATAATATTATATATATATATTATAAATAGATTACTGTAATCATTAATACATTATATGTTGCCAAAGTGCAATAATGATGGGAGTCTCTCTTTGAAACACAGCTGATGAGAATGTACAACTTACCTCTGTAATTTGAAGCAACTTGGCACAGAGGCAAAGTTTGAAGTGATTCAGGCGCAACAAAATGCACTAAGGGCTGCTAAACAACATATTCCTAAATGGGGACGATGTGAACGGTCGAAGCCTTTGCTGGACATGTGTTTTGAAAGGAATGACGGAACACACTCCACGGACTATCAGTGACAGGCGTACCGCACTGAAACCTTTTGACCGGAGGCTGCTGATGGTTTGCAAATGCGCTGTCTCGTATCTGACGGCCAGCGCCGTGTGCGCTTTCGAGTAGCGTATGTTTGGTGGCCCAAGTAGAGCACCAGAAGAGCGATGTCTAGAACAGTTTTGGATGTTTCTCTCATTGTTGCATTGGAAACGTTTTGTCAAATGGGAGCCTTGGAATGCAGCTGCACAAAGACCCCAGCCGATGCCTGAGGATGGTGGCCAGTACAGTGGGTGGGCTAGAGCACGGAGGACCCAGACTCAACCACCCCGTGACTAGCTGTGTGAAACTTTCAGAATGGGATCTTGAGCTATTTATGTGTGTGTGTGTGCCCGACGTGTGCACATTGCAGATTTCACTAATTAGTCTCAGCTCATTCCTTTTGCACCATTTGCCGAATTAATGTTGCAAAGCTCAGCTTGATTATCTTGCCACTAGAAAATCATAGAACATCTAAGTCACAAGAGCCAGACGCACGTTTTGAGTGTTGGTTCTGCTTCTTGTCTAACCTATTTTTTGCCCAGGTGAAAGGAGGCTCGCTATTGACTGTGGCAGGCCTCTTGGACCGCCCTCATCCTCAGAACTCGGAACCTTCCAATTGAGTGAATTCATGCCAAAACGGATGGACTTTCAAGGGTCTTTCTGCACACCCTATGAAGGGCGTAATGATCATTGGATTTGCTAAGGTGCGCTGTCCCTGCATTTGCGCCAGAAGATCTTTGTTTGTGGTGCCAGCCGGCTCCAGCCCCAGTTGAATTGACAGTCGAAGGCCCACCTACTCAAAATCTGAAAGAAGACTGGCCTTGAAGATCCCACCCTTTGCATCCTTTTATATACATCTCTGTGCTCGCCTTGGAGGTCTTGGACTTAGCACCCTCGCTCCACTCTGTGCAAAGAACACTTAAGACCGCTTATGTCTTGACACCGCAGTCTATTTGATCTTCGATTTCACTACCCGAACAAAAACGCTTTCCAACAAGAATATGCTTTAACTATATAATTGGTTTTCCAAGCTTAAAACATATGTATCTTTGCTTGGTATGTTCAAAACACGCATTCTTTTACATTGAGGACAGATGCTGGTGTGCATGCACAGGGACAGGCCACATTGGAAGTCTCAGACTGTTTACATGGTATCTATCGGAAGAGTTGCCACCCTTGGCTGATCACAAGTTTATCAGAAGTGACATGGAGACTTTATTCGCTGGAACTAAAACTAAAACAGATCCGAGTGGTAACCCGTAGGAGACAATTGAGCAGTTTGCCCGAATTTGCGTTGCTCTTACGTCACTTAAGCCTCAGACTCTCAGCATGTCCCGCAAAACGGTCTTAATATCAGAGCCGTGAGGCGGCGCATTTTGATATCCCAGAGAAGCTGGCTGAAGAGCGGCCGGAAAACTGGAAGGACCGGCCATTTTTTGGCTCGAGGGAAGTTTCATTTAGAACACAGTGGCAGACGGAGCAATACGAGTAAGGTAAGACGGTATTTACTCCTGATTTCTGCTATTTGATTGGATTTGGTCTTTGTGTCAAGTGGAGTCTTCAAGTATTCCATCAGTCAAAATTAGTCTTCTACTGTAGTTTCCTGCAAGGAGCAATGGGAACGGAAGCTGAACCAGCAGGTGGGAGCCACTGCTTGGAGTTTTTATGCAGGGTGTAGAGAAGGGGCACGCTTCGATACGCTTTAAACTTTACGCCACTTCTCATGGTTGCTGTGTGGGGCGACAAATAATATCAATACTGTTAAGCCATGTTGTCGGTTGGTATGCCTGAAGTGCCCACACGTCATTAAAATCTTGCCAGTTGCCTGGAGATATTCGAGTCAGGTTCCTCAGCTGACACTTAGAAGACATATGAATCAATGCTTACCAAACTGCTACAGGCCAGCTCATTCTTGGTTTACGGTGGCCTACTAGATTCTGACGTTTTCCATTTCACTTTCTATTTGCGAACTGTTGCTTCAAGAACTCTGCATGGAACAAGTATTGTCAGCAGACCCTAGTCCCATTGCAGATGTTGAGGTCGTGCACTGTATCGTAGCCAAAAAATTGGTGGTATTCAGACTCTTCATGGATCCAGATTTGACGTATGCCATTGCACTCAGGAACTTTCATGACGCACCAAGAGATTTTCACTCGCGCTTCTCTGCTGTCAGCAAGACTTATGCTCGCAGCCTAAGTCACAACAAAGATGGCTGTTGCAGTTTCTTGCATTACACTATCCAAACTGCTTCTAGGAATTCATGGCCACAGAACTGCGCCAGAACTCTTGGAAGTTCGTTTCTCTTTGCAACAGAACTTGCTGTAGTACTTGCTAATTCACCTGGTTGAAGTTCTCTATTCTTTGAACATTTCGGTCGAGCTGGTTGCCTTAGACTCGGACTGTCGGGTGCTTGAGGTCTACAGAATTCACTATGGCAAGGATCCATCAGACCCGTTTGAAAGGCAGACAAATGAGATCCACAAGTTCTGACGTTCTGTGATTGTGCCATGGCCACAGCCTTCTTGTGGCCGTGGCTGATTTTCATGGTGTTGCCTTTGAGGTGGCAAGCTGGGTTCTGGATGTGAGGATGTTTTCAGTTTGGAGATGTTTTGAATTATTTTGAGATTGCTTCCTTTGCCATGCCAATAGTGCCTCTGGAGTCCATGGCGCTTGAAGCATGTCAGATGTCACGAATTCAAGGTCTAGCCTTTCCTCATACCGAACTTGCTTTGAAGGTTCTACCGCTTCCAGCTGCCTTTGGGTTGGGTGACCGGGGCTCTGTAGACTTGTCAAAGAGTCCGACTCCTTCCGCATGGATGCAACAGAAGGTTCTGGTTTATAATTGAGTTTCCAGACAACCAGTCGTTGGTGTGTGTCAGCAGCCGATCCAAATCAAATTAACCAATTTGAAGTATTGAGAAACTGTTTTTTCTGTATTGAGAAACTTTCTCCTGTCGAAACTGTTGGAATTTGTGTAGTGTAGAGGTACGAAGCTTTGATATTGACCGGCTCCACACAGTTGCCACATGCTTCATCGGCAGCAAGGACTTCGCGTGCGCTGTATGAAGTCATTCTGTCATTGATGCTAGTCTTTTTTGAGCCTACTTCTCGCAGATGCGGTGGTGGCAGCTAGGTACTTCACTCAGCTTGCAAAGCTGGAGGGAAACAGGACCGGAGTCACCTCTTTGTCTCACTTTGATGTCATGTCACCGCCCTTTCCTGCTTCTGTAGTAGGAGCAGCCATCGGACCATTGAAGATATCCGGGTGGTGCAGCTGACATGGTTTGCCGTCGCCGGCACAATTCTTTGTTGTTAGAATCCAGCAATGGTATGCAATGGTCACATCATCCTCTGTATCCAGCATATATTCACACCATGACAAATGAGTAGCAATAATACGGAATACCAATATAGAGGAATGCGATCGTGTTCAGCATTGTTCAGCCCCAACGAAGAGATGTAGAGACACATATCTAGTGATATCTACAGAATCGAGGCTCGTAGTTTTGCTTCTTGTTGACACTCCACCGCCCTGGTTCTTGACCGAAAACAAGGGCTGGATGATCCGTTCAAAGACAGCAAAATCATCCAACTATGTCTTCTCTTGGAGCTGAGACAAAACATGTTCGAGAGCAACCAGACTGTGAGCTGATCCGAAAAGAAGGTTTAAACCTAAAGATGCTTAAACTTAAACAATCTGACAAAGACGCAGGTGACCGGTGACCGTGCTTTAGTTACACTTGAAACAGGTTTTTGAGGCCTTCAGGCTGGCACCCAACCTATGCAATCAGGTAATGTGTGAGGTACAGCTTTGCGCTGTATGCTAGTTGCGATGGCCTCCAACCTAAAAGCCATGGCCTCCAACCTAATAGCAAAGGGAACCTTATTTAATAGCAATGACCTCCAACCTAGACCTAGAAGCGATGGCCTCCAACCTATTTGCAAGTCATGTCAACTAGCTTTGTTTCTCCTTTCTCAGCAGGATGGTTGCGTGACGTAGAGAGTCGTAAAGAATGCCATGTTCCGCCTCATTTTGCCAAGTGTTCCAAGGTGTGTGTTTGGGCACGGATTTTTGGTGCGTATTTGTCAGCAGCACATGAGCCAGGTAGATGAACTTCCTGGTCAAACGTGCCGCATCGAGGCAGGCTTCATGTCCTTGGCTATTTGTCAATTAATATAGGTTAATATATATTAATTATAGTCAATTCATGACATTTCTTGACTTCAATGCAATTGCTTGGTGTAAATCTTATATTTGTTCAACAAATCTTGAATCTTGCTACTGAGATCGACTTGGACGGGGCCCTTTTCCGGATGGTGCGCAATATGGTGGGCTGCATGGCAGCTTGGCGAGACATGACAGACAGTACCGGTCCATTTAGTGTTGAAATATGTTGAAATCAGTGTTGAAATATGTTGAATAAATTAGTGCTGAGTAGCTCGCATTTTCGTGGTGAACTCAGAGATAGTGTTGATTATATAATGTGATTATGATCCTTTTAGACCCTTTTAGTAGGAACTTGATTTGTGTGGGCTACAGTCCCTCTCCAGGTTGCAGGAGCCTGTGGGCGCCTCTCTGCAGAACACATTGACGAGATGTTGGAGGTCGTTCTTTGCTTGGCACAAGTTTCCTTTGTTGCACCAAGTTAGAGTTGACACTGTTTTGTTTGGCGTAAAGAGAAATCAAATTCATATTACGCCGCAGGGATCGCACGCACTAGATAATGTTTGAACATAGTAACAAGAAGCTACTAGTAGCAAGTGCATCGCTACTAGTAGCAAGTGCATCGCTACTAGTAGCAAGTATCTCGCAATTTCGACACTACTGTGTGGACGGTGGGGTGCTGTCACCAATGCTGGGATTATGCCTCACCCGCAGCACCACTGGAGGTTGTTTATTTTTTACCACGCGAGCCTTGATTCAAAGACAAATGTTGAGTTATCCATAGTAGTGTAGACGCTTCCAAGCCACCATGTGTCTCCACTCAATGTGGTACGCATGGCCACAAGTTTGCAACTACAGAAAGGCTATAGTGATCAGAGGCCGCGAGCATGAACAGCCAGCAGATCTGCAGATGCTTTCATGTATAGCTATATATATACATGGGCGCAAGTGACCTCCATATACCTCTATTATGATTTATCCGTCGAGTAATCAGCACCATTCAAGGTTTGGGATACTGGTATCGAGTCAAGGTGTGTTGTTGCTTGGCTTTAGGGGTGAAGATGCAATATGTGCAGGCTGAAAGACGCTATGATTTCCCTTGAGCCTTGGCTAGATTGGCACAACCGTTGAACATCATTGGGTTGCCCGATGCCCGATCATTTCCTTTTCCTTATATGTTTGATGATGCGGTATGATGCGGTGCTTATTCTCCAAGCTCTTGGAGGACATGCTATTCTCCCACAGTGTTGTAGCTGAACTTTCACGATGTGTTTGACTTTGCCCAGGTCTCCCTGCGCATGGGCTTTGCTTGGATATGGCCGCATGTCGCAATATGATCAATATGGAGTATAGAACGGGGGTCAGGTCAGTAGACTTTGGATGGTGTTTGACTTTTTGGGG